CTGACCCTGACCCTGTATTTGACCATGACCCTGACCCGGACCCTAACGCTTACCATGACTCTGACCCTGATCTTGACAGTAACCATGACCCTGACGCTGACCTTGACGCTGACACTGACCTTGACCCTGACCCTAACCCTAACCCTAACTCTAACCCTAACACTAGCTCTGCATTTAACCCTTACCCTAACCTTAACCCTAACCCTAACCGTAACCATAGACTAACAATAACCTTACTCTAACCCGAACCCTGACCCTGGCTGTGACCTTGACCCTGACCCTAAGCCTAATGCTAACCATGACCCTGATCCTGAACTTGACCGAAACCAGGACCCTGACCCTGACCTTGACACTGCCCCACCTTGACCTTGATCCAACCCTAACCCTAACTCTAACCCTAACCCTAGCTCTGCATTTAACCCTTACCCTAACCTTAACCATAACCCTAACTGTAACCTTACCCTAACCCTAACCTTACTCTAACCCGAACACTGACCCTTACCCTGGATTTGACCTTGACTCTGATCCAGAACCTCACGCTAACTTTATCCCTCATCATTATTAGACCGTAACCATGACCCTGACACTGACCTTGAGGCTGATCCTGACCTTGATGTGACACTAACCCTAACTCCAACCCTAACCCTAACTCTAACCCTACCCTAGCTTTGCTTTTAAACCTTACAATAACCTTAACCATAACGCAAACCGTAACCCTACCCTAACCCTTACCCTAAATCTAACCTTACTCTAACCCGAACAAGGACCCTGACCCAGGCTTTCACCTTGACCCTGACCAATACCCAAAGGCTAACCATGACCCAGACACTGACCCTGACCGTAACCATGAACCTGACCCTGAATTTTACGCTGACCCTGACCGTGACCCTCACCCTAACCCTAACCCTAACTCTAACCCTAGCCTTAGCTCTGCATTTGACTTTTACCCTACCTGAACCATAACCCTAACCATTACCCTACCCTAACTCGATCCCTAACCCTAACCTTACTCTAACAGGAACACTAACCCGGACCCTGCCTTTGAACTTGACCCTGACCCTGACCCTAACGCTAACCATGACCGTGATCCTGACCTTGACCGTAACCATGACCCTGACCCTGACCTTGACGCTGACCCAGACATTGACCCTGACCCTAACCCTAACGCTAAATCTAACCCTAACCCTAGCTCTGCATGAGACCTTTACCCTACCTTAACCATAACCCTAACAGCAACCCTACCCCAACTCGATCCCTAATGCTAACCTTACACTAATTCAAACACTGAACCTGACCATGGTTTGACCTTGACTCTGACCCAGATCGTAACGCTAACCATGACTCTGACCAAACCTTGAATGTATCCATGACCCTGAACCTGACCTTGACGCTGACCCTAATCTTGAACCTGACCCTAAACCTAACCCTAAACCTAACTGTAACCCTAACCCTAGCTCTACATTTAACCCTTACCCTAACATTAACCATAACCCTAACCGTATCCCTACCCTAACCCTAAATCTAACCCTAACTCTAAACTTACTCTAAACCGACCACTGACCCTGACCCTGTCTTTGACCTAGACCCTGACCCTAACGCTAACCATGACCCTGACCCTGACCTTGACCATAACCATGACCCTGACCCTTACCTTAACGCTGACCCTGACCTTGTCCCTGACCCTAACCCTAAACCTAACTCTAAAGCTAACCCTAGCTCTGCATTTGGCCTTTACCCTAACTTAACCATAACCCTAACCATATCCCTACCCTAACCCTAACCCTAACCTTACTCTAACTCGAACATGACCCTGATCCTGCCTTTGACCTTGACCGTTAGCCTGACCCGAACGCTAACCATGACTCAGACCCTGACCTTGACCGTAACCATGACCCTGACCCTGACCTTGAAGCTGACCCTAACCTTGACCCTGACCCTAAACCTAAATCTAACTCTAACCCTAAACCTAGCTCTGCATTTGGCCTTTACCCTACCTTAACCAAAACCCTAATCATAACCCTACCCTAAATCGATCCCTAACCCTAACCTTACTCTAACTCCAACACTGACCCGGACCCAGGTTTGACCTTGACTCTGACCAAACCCTAAAGCTAACCATGACCCTCACCTTGACCTTAACCATGACCCTGACCCTGACCTTGACACTGACCCTGTACTTGACCGTGACTCTAACCCTAACCCTAACTCTAACCATAACCTTAGCTGTGCATTTAACCCTTACCGTAACCTTAACCATAACCCTAACTGTAACCCTACCCTAACCCTTAGCCTAACTCTAACCTTACTCTAACCTGAACTCTGACCCTAACCCAGGCTTTGACCTTGACCCTGACCCTGACCCGAACACTAACCAAAACCCTAACCCTGACCTTGACCGTACCCATGACCCTGACCCTGACCTTGGCGCTGACCCTGACCTTGACCATGACTCTAACCCTAACTCTAACCCTAACCCTAGCTCTGCATTGAACCCTTACCCTACCTTAACCATAACCCTATCAGTAACCCTACACTAACCATAACGTTACTCAAACCCAAACACAGACCCTGACCCTTGCTTTGACCTTGAGTCTTACCCAGACCCTAACGCTAACCATGACCCTGACCCTGACCTTTACCATAACCATGACCCATACCCTGACCTTGAAGCTGACCTTGACCCTGAGCCAAAACCTAACCCTAACCCTATCTCTAACCCTAACCCTAGCTCTGCATTGAACCCTTACCCTAACCTTACCATACCGCTAACCGAAACCCTACCCTAACCGTAACTCTAACCTTACTCTAACCCGAACACTGACCCTGAACCTGGTTTGACCTTGACCCTGACCGTGACCTTGAAGGTAACCATGATGCCGACCCTGACCTTGACCCTGATCATAACGCTAACCCTAAGTCTAAACCTAACCCAAGCTCTACATTTAACCCTTACCCTAATCATAACCAGAACCCTAACAGTAACCCTACCTTAACCCTAACCCTAACCTTACTCTAACCCGAACACTGACCCTGACCCAGGCTTTGACCTTGACTCTGACCGAGAACCTAACGCTAATTTTGACCCTGATCATGACCTTGAACGTAACCATGACCCTGACACTGACTTTTAGGCTGACCCTGACCTTGACCCTGACCCTAAACCTAACTGTTACCATAACTGTAACCCTAACCCTAGCTCTGCATTTAACCCTTACGCTAACCTTAACCAAAATGCTAACCGTAACCCTACCATACCCTATCCCTAACCCTAACTCAAACCTTACTCTAACCGGAACACTGACCCTGAGCCTGTCTTTGACTTTGACCCAGACCCAGACCCTAACGCTAAGCATGACCCTGACAATGACCTTGACCCTGACCCAGACCTTGACCCTGACCCTAACCCTATCTCTAACCCTAACCCTAGCTCTGCATTTAACCTTTACCCTATCTTAACCATAACCCTAACCGTAACCCTACCCTAACTGGATCCCTAACTCTAACCTTACTCTAACCTGAACACTGACCCTGAACCTGCCTTTACCTTGACCCTGACCCTGAACCTAATGCTAACCATGACCGTGATCCTCACCTTGACCGTAACCATGACCCTGATCCTGACCTTCACGCTTACCCAGACCTTGACTCTGACCCTAACCCTAATGCTAAATCTAACCCAAACCTTAGCTCTGCATTTGACCTTAACCCTACCTTAACCATAACCCTAACTGAAACCCTACCCTAACTTGATCCCTAACCCTACCTTACTGTAACTCAAACACTGTACCTGACCCTGGTTTGACCTTGACTCTGACCCAGACCCTAACGCTAACCATGACCCTGACCATGACCGTGAATGTAACCATGACACTGACCCTGAATTTGACGCTGACCCTAATCTTGACCCTGACCCTAAACCTAACCCTAACCCTAACTGTAACCCTAACTCTAGCTATGCATTTAACCCTTACCTTAACATTAACTATATCCCTAACCATATCCCTACTTTAACCCTAAACCTAACCCTAACTCTAACCTTATGTTAAACCGACCAATGACCCTGAACCTGTCTTTGACCTTGACCCTGACCCTAACGCTAACCATGACCCTGACCCTGACCTTGACCATAACCATGACCCTGACCCTGACCTTGATGCTGACCCTGACCTTAACCATGACCCTAACCCTAAAGCTAAATCTAACCCGAACCCTAGCTCTGCATTTGACCTTTACCCTACCTGAACCATAACCCTACCCTAACTCGATCCCCAACCCTAACCTTACTCTAACTCAAACACTGACCCTGACACTGGTTTGACCTTGATTCTGACCCAGACCCTAAGGCTAACCATGACTCTGACCATGACGGTGAATGTAAAATGACCCTGAACATGCCCTTGACGATGACCCTAATCTTGACCCTGACCCTAAACCTAACCCTAACTTGTAACCCTAACCCTAGCTCTGCATTGAACACTTACCCTAACCTTAACCATAACCCTAACAGTAACCCTACCCTAACACTAACGTTACTCAAACCCAAACACAGACCCTGACCCTTGCTTTGACCTTGAGCCTTACCCAGACCCTAACGCTAACCATGACCTTCACCCTGACCTTGACCATAACCATGACCCTGACCCTGACCTTGACGCTGACCCTAAACCTAACCCTAACCCTAACTGTAACCCTAACCCTAGCTCTGCATTTAACCCTTACCCTAACATTAACCATAACCCTAACCATATCCCTACCCTAACCCTAAACCTAACCCTAACTCTAACCTTACTCTAAACCGACCACTGACCCGGACCCTGTCTTTGACCTTGACCCTGACCCTGACCCTAACGATAACCATGACCCTGACCCTGACCTTGACCATAACCATGACGCTGACCCTGACCTTGACCCTGACCCTAACCCTAAACCTAACTCTAAACCATAACCAGAACCCTAACCGTAACCCTACCCTAATTCTAACTCTTTTTTTTTTTTTGAGGTTCCAAAAAGTTACAGCATCTTAATTCCTTATAGAAAAGGGGAAGGAGCCAGGGGGGAGGTAAGTCCCTGGGGTGGGAGGAGGTTCGCCCAGCCTGGTGGGACATCCCCCCCTTAAATAGCTGCCCCAAATGGGGCAAGCCTGGGGCTATAGCATTTAAAAACTCCCACACCCCATTTTATCAAAACCAAAGAGAAAAAAAAATTTCCCTTTCCCCCCGAAACCCAAATATATATATATATTTTCTTTAAAAAACAAAAATTCAAAGGCATTAAGCTTTAAAGTGAATCTAGAACAAGGGAATGTGAAATTCCCTCCTTCCTTCCCCCTCACTGCGGGGTTAACTGGTACATCCCCAGCAGAGGAACCAGCCCCAAGGGGATGGTAGAGGGGAAGGACCAAAGAGAAGAAAGGGTGGGGGCCTCGCCAGCCAATCAGCAGCCAGTATGGGTGTAGGCAGGGAAGCCACACCCCCTTGGACTTTTCCAAGTGGGATGGGGAATGGGGGAGATGCATTCCTGTGCAGTCTTCAGCCAATTCCAAGTCAAGCCGAGGCAGGGAAAGCAGGGTGAGAGGTGGGGTGTGCAGAAGGGAGAAATGGATCTTCTGTGTCCCTGTGGTCAGGGAGAACCCCGCTTCCTCAGCTCCTGGACAAAGGCTTCAATTATTTCCTCTTTCACTTTCTGCAATTCCTTCCTCACCTCTTCCAGAAGCTCCTGTTTCACTCTCTCCAGGTCTGACTCATCACTGGAGCTAGGTGTACAGGGGTGGGCCTCGGAAGTGAGTGCCGAAGACGACTTCATCCTCGGCAAGGTTGTGCTGTTCTTCTCCCAGGGTCTCCGCACAGATTCACTCTGGGCTGGGACTCTGGCCTCTGGCTCCTCCTGATTGGCAGAGTCATCCTTGGGGGGTTTCTCCCCAACCTGCGTGGCTTTCCTTCTGCGGGCCAGCATGGCGTTCATCTCTTCCATGAGCCCCCCGCCTGTGCTGCGGCTGCTCTCAGCTTTGGGGGCCACGGGCCCCCCTAAGGCCTCCTCCTGCTTGCTGACTTTCCTGAGTTTGGCTCCAGCAATGGCTGCGGCCAGGCCTGGGGCCCCGGCCCCCCCACCACTGGGGCCCTGTGCTGCGGGGAGAGGGGGTGCAGGGGGTGGGCCTCCCCCTGCTCCATGCCCTGCAGTAGACACCCCGGAGGGGGGCAGACCCGGAGGTGGGGGGGGACCCGGAGGAGGAGGAGGTCCTGGTGGTGGGGGTGGGCCCCCAGCTGGGGGAGCAGGTGGGCCTCCTGCATTGGAGACCCTGCGCTCCAGTTCCGGCTGGCCAGACTGCTGCCTTCTGTGCTGCTCCACCTCCTCCGGGGAGGGGCCGTTCTGCACAGACCAGGTGGGAGGTGCTGCGGGCGGAGGAGGCCCACCTCCTTCCAACGCCTCTAGGGCACTGGCCATGCCGGCGGAAAACTGTGCTGCATCCTCCTTGCTGCCGAAGTTGAGGCCCCAGACCTGGCGGGCGTCGCGCCACTGGTGGAAGGTAGGGGTGGCTTGATGATACTTGACACCCCGGACGATGGCACAGTTGATGACCACCTGCTGGTCAGGCTGCATCTTCCGGCCCACGACCCGGAAGGAATTGGCTGTGGGGTTGTGGTAGATCTGGACACGGCTGAAGGCCTGGGGACCGGTGCCGGCGGGCAGCCATCGCTTGTTGCCGTCATCGTAAAGCATCACAGTGGCCCGGCTAGAACAGACGGCCGTCTCACTCATGGCTGCTCGGCGGCGGGCGGCGCGCCCGCGGGCTGGGTGCTCCCGGGGTGCCCCTGGCTCGAGGTTCAGGGGTTCGGGGCTGGCTCCAGGCTCTGCTCTGTCTCCTCCAGGGTCCCGCCACATAGAGTCCGGCTTCCTGGAGGGGAAGGAGAACCCGGCTGGGACAGGTCCTGCGGCGCCTCCTCCCGCTGGTGCTTGGAGGGGGGGACCCCTGCGGCAGAAAGGGAGTGCGGCGTCCCCGACCTTGACCCTGACCCTGACCTTTACCCAACCTTAATCATAACGCTAACCCTACCCTTACCCTAAATCGATCCCTAAGCCTAAACCTGCTCTAACTCGAACAATGACCTTGAACCAGGTTTTGACCTTGACGCTGACCCAGACCCTAAAGCTAACCATGACCCTGATCCTAACCTTGACCTTAACCATGACCCTGACCCTGACTTTGACACTGACCCTGTCCTTGACCGTGACTCTAACCCTAACCCTAACTCTAACCCTAACTTTAGCTCTGCATTAACCCTTACCGTAACCTTAACCATAACCCTAACTGTAACCCTACCCTAACCCTTACCCTAACTCTAACCTTACTGTAACCAGAAAACTGACCCTAACCCAGGCTTTGACCTTAACCCTGACCCTGACCCGAACGCTAACCAAAACCATGACCCTGACCTTGACCATACCCATGACCCTGACCCTGACCTTGATGCTTACCCTGACCTTGACTGTACCATGACCCTTACCCTGATCTTGAAGCTGACCCTGACCTTGACCCTGACCTCAAACCTAACCCTAACTCTAACCCTAACCCTAGCTCTGCATTTAACCCTTAACCTAACTTTAACCATACCGCTAACCAAAACCCTACCCTAACTGTAACTCTAACCTTACTCTAACCCGAACACTGACCCTGAACCTGGTTTGACCTTGACCCTCACCGAGACCTTGAACGTAACCATGACCTCAACCCTGACCTTGACCCTGATCATAACGATACCGTAAGTCTAAACCTAACACAGGCTCTAAATTTAACCCTTACCCTAACCATAACCAGAACCCTAACAGTAACCCTACCCTAACCCTAACCTTACTCTAACTCGAACACTGACCCTGACCCTGCCTTTGACCTTGACTCTGACCCAGAAACTGACGCTAATTTTGACACTGATCATGACATTGAAGGTAACCATGACCCTGACACTGAACTGGAGGCTGATCCTGACCTTGACCCTGACCCTAAACATAACCCTAAACGTAACTGTAACCCTAACCCTAGATCTGCATTTGATCCTTACGCTAACCTTAAGCATAACGCTACCGTAACCCTACCCTAACTCGAAACTTACTCTAGCTGGAACACTGACCCTGAACCTGTCTTTGACCTTGACCCTGACCCTGACCATAACGCTAACCATGACCGTGATCCTGACCTTGACCGTAACCATGACCCTGACGCTGACCTTGACGCTGACCAGACCTTGACCCTGACCCTAACCCTAACCCTAACTCTAACCCTAACCCTAGCTCTGCATTTAACCTTTACCCTATCTTAACCATAACCCTAACCGTAACCCTACCCTAACTCAATCCCTAACCCTAACCTTACTCTAACCTGAAAACTGACCCTCACCCTGCGTTTGACCTTGACCCTGACCCTGACCCTAACGCTAACCATGACTTTGACCCTGACCTTGACGCTGATCTAGACCTTGACACTGACCCTAACCCTATCGCTAAATCTAACCCTAAACCTAGCTCTGCATTTAACCTTTACCCTATCTTAACGATAACCCTAACCGCAACGCTACCCTAACTCGATCCCTAACACTAACCTTACTGTAAATCAAACACTGACCCTGACCCTGGTTTGACCTTGACAATGACCTAGACCCTAAGGCTAACCATGACTCTGACCATGACATTGAATGTAACCATGATCATGACCCTGACCTTGACGCTGGCCCTAGTCTTGACCCTGACCCTAAACATAACCCTAACCCTAACCGTAACCCTAACCCTAGCTCTGCATTGAACCCTTACCCTAACCTTAACCATAACCCTAACAGTAACCCTACCCTGACACTAACGTTACTCAAACCCAAACACAGACCCTGACCCTTGCTTGACCTTGAGTCTTATCCAGACCCTAACGCTAAGCATGACACTGACCCTGACCGTAACCATGACACTTACTCTGACCTTGAAGCTGACCCTGACCTTAACCCTGACCCTACCCTGACCCTAACTCTAACCCTAATCCTAGCTCTGCATTTAACCCTTACCCTAACCTTAACCATAACCCTAACAGTAACCATACCCTAAAAATAACCTTACTCTAACCCAAACCCTGACCATGACCCTGGCTTTGACCTTGACTCTGACCCAGAACCTAATGCTAATTTTGACCCTGATCATGACTTTGAATGTAACCATGACCCTGACATTGACTGTGAGGCTGACCCTGACCTTGACCCTGACCCTAAACCTAAACCTAACCGTAACTGTAACCCTAACCTTAGCTCTGCATTTAACCCTTACGCTAACCTTAACCATAACGCTACCCATAAACCTACCCTAACGCTAACCCTAACTAGAACCTTACCCTAACTGGAACACTGACCCTGACCCTGTCTTTCACCTTGACCCTACCCAGTCCCTAATGCTAACCATGACACTGACCATGACCTTGAATGTAACCATGGAACTGACCATGACCTTGACGCTGACCCTGACCCTAAACCTAACACGAACACTAACTGTAACCTTAACCCTAGGTCTGCATTTAAACCTTACCCTAACCTTAACCATAACCCTAACCATAACCCTACCCTAACCCTAACTGTAACCGTATTCTAACCCGAACACTGACCCTGACCCTGCGTTTGACCTTGACCCGGACCCTGACCCTAACGCTAACCATGACTGTGATCCTGACCTTGACCGTAACCATGACCCTGACTGTGACCCTGACGCTGACCGAGACCTTGACCCTGACCCTAACCCTAACCCTAACCTTAACCCTAACCCTAGCTCTGCATTTGACCTTTACCCTACCTTAACCATAACCCTAACCGTAACCCTACCCTAACTCGATCCATAACCCTAACCTTACTGCAACTCAAACACTGACCCTGACCCTGGTTTGACCTTGACTCTGACCCAGACCCTAAGGCTAACCATGACTTTGACCATGACCTGGAATGTAACCATGACTCTGACCCTGACCTTGACGCTGACCCTAATCTTGACCCTGACCCTAAACCTAACCCTAACCCTAACTGTAACCCTAACCCTAGCTCTGCATTTAACCCTTACCCTAACATTAACCATAACCCTAACCGTATACCTACCCTAACCCTAAACCTAACCCTAACTCTAACCTTAATCTAAACAGACCACTGACCCTGACCCTGTCTTTGACCTTGACCCTGACCCTGACACTAACGCTAACCATGACCCTGACCCTGACCTTGACTATAACCATGACCCTGACCCCGACCTAGACGCTGACCCTGACCTTGACCCTGACCCTAACCCTAACCCAAACTCTAACCCTAACCCTAGCTCTGCATTTCACCCTTACCTTAACCTTAACCATAACCCTAACCGTAACCCTTCCCTAACCCTAACCCTAACCTTACTCTAACTGGAACACTGACCCTGATCGCGCATTTGACCTTGAACGTGACCCTGACCCGAACGCTAACCATGACCCAGACCCTGACCTTGACCATAACCATGACCCTGAACCTGACCTTGACGCTGACCCTGACCTTGCCCCTGACCCTTACCCTAAATCTAACTCTAATCATAACCCTAGCTCTGCATTTAACATTTACCCTACCTTAACCATAACCCTAACCGATACACTACCCTAAATCGATCCCTAACGCTAAACTTACTCTAACTCGAACACTGACCCTGACCCAGGATTTAACCTTAACCCTGAAAAAGACCCTAAATCTAACCATGACCCTGACCCTGACCTTGACCTTAACCATGACCCTGAACTTGACGCTGATCCTGTCCTTCACCGTGACTCTAACCCTAACCCTAACTCTAACCCTAACACTAGCTCTGCATTAAACCCTTACCCTAACCTTAACCATACCGCTAACCAAAACCCTACTCTAACCCTAATTCTAACCTTACTCTAACCTGAACATTGACCCTGACACTGGTTTTACCTTGACCCTAACCCTGACCTTGAATGTAAGCATGACCCCGATCCTGACCTTGAACCTGATCATAACGCTAACCATAAGTCTAACCCTAACCCAAGCTCTACATTCAACCCTTACCCTAACCAAACCAGAACCCTAACAGTAACCCTACCCTAACCCTAACCCTAACCTTACTCTAACCCGAACACTGACCCTGACCCTGGCTTGGACCTTGACCCTGACCCTAACGCTAACCATGACCGTGATCCTGACCTTATCCGTAACCATGACCCTGCCCCTGACCTTGATGCTGACCCAGACCTTGACCCTGACCCTAACCCTAACGCTTAATCTAACCCTAACCGTAGCTCTGCATTTGACCTTTACACTACCTTAACCATAACCCTAACCGTAACCATACCCTAACTCGATCCCTAACCCTAACCTTACTCTAACTCAAACACTGACCCTGACCCTGGTTTGACCTTGACTCTGACCCACAAAATAAGGCTAACCATGACTCTGACCATGACATTGAATGTAAACATGACCCTGACCCTGACCTTGACACTGACCGTAATCTTGACCCTGACCCTAAACCTAACCCGAACCCTAACTGTAACCCTAACACTAGCTCTGCATTTAACCTGTACCCTAACATTAACCATAACCCTAACCATATCCCTACCGTAACCCTAAACCTAACCCTAACTCTAACCTTACTCTAGACCGACCACTGACCCTGACCCTTTCTTTGACCTTGAGCCGGACCCTGACCCTAACGCTAACCATGACCCTGACCCTGACCTTGACCATAACCATGACCCTGACGCTGATCTTGATGCTGACCCTGACCCTAATCCTAAACCTAACTCTAAACCTAACCCTAGCTCTACATTTAACCGTTATGTTAAACTTAACCATAACCCTAAGGGTAACCCTACCCTAACCCTAACTCTAACCTTACTCTAACTCGAACACTGACCCTGACCCAGGTTTTGACCTTGATCCTGACCCAGACCCTAAAGCTAACCATGACCCTGACACTGACCCTGACCGTAACCATGA